ATTGTTGGACCCCCCACACCTCCCTGCCGCCCCCCCCCTCACCCCCACCCCCGCTTTATTGTATATAGAATTGCCATTTTATTACTTAATAAGTAAGTTTTGTATATAATATGTCATTCAGAAATCAGAAGTACAGATCAAACATAAACATACACAACTTTAAACTGTTAAAGCAAGCATGATCGAGACAAAAAAAAAAATCTAGGTAAAACCTACCATAAAAATTGCAATGTAATAACACAAAGTCAAAAGAACATATCATTCATGCAACTATTTAATAAGTAATTGTTAATTTAACTCATAAAAAAAAAAAATTATGGGGATAAAAGTTATGGTTTATGAATCATACAAACCCAAGCATAAAATTCAAAAAAAAAACCAAAAAAAAAAAAATTCAAACTAAATATCAAAATGGGAAAATAATCCAAACAGTTTTCTTTTGGTGAATAATAATCCAAATAGTTGATAACATATCAAATATATATCATAAAGTATCAAAAAAGAGAATACAAAAAGCAAAGAATAACATCACAAGACATTGTGAACCAAAAAAAAAACATAATGAACCAAAAAAAAAAAACCTACAAAAAATATTGAAATATACCAACCTTCTTGTAATGGAATCGATATCGACCCAAACCGGTTATTCCCAATTCTCCTCTTTTACAACCACTATAAGCCTCAAAAATATTGGGGATGAATATCTTGTAATTTTGTGAGTATTCTAGGAGGTTGAAAAAAAAATTCAATGTTTTTCTCACTCTAAACCTCACTAAAAATGTTGTGGGGGGGCAAGAATGGCCCCCAAAACCTTTTTCCCCCTTTTAAGGGGGAAAATGACGAAGTTACCGAATGGCCGAGTGGCATTTTGCACCTCAGTCTCGATTGTTTGGGGCAGCGCCTAGGAGCCAGCCTTTTATGCCACCCAGGCGGGTGCATGCCTGGAGCATACCGCCTAGTCAACGCCTAGGCGGTTTTCAGAAAATGGCTGACTAGGTGGCAAGGCGAATTGTATACAGCATAATGTTCTTTTTCTACCTTTTCCAAAATCTAATTGCCCTCTTCTTCAAATTGGGACAAAAAGGATGCGAGATATTTTGTCATGTATTTTCCCTTGTCATACTGACAATTGGTATTTGAGCTTATTACTATGCCGAGATAGAGGACAACAGTAATACAATACACTATTTTTCATATTTATACTGTAATCTAGGGCAAGTTTTAGTTCTACTGGCGCAAGTGCATACAAATAACTCTATAAAGCTTTTGGCACGTACTCTTCAGTGTTGAACTAGAGCTTTTCGTTTTCTTTTCTTCTTTGGTAAGTTCATCGAAAAGAGACTCGAAATGTGAAATTTATACAGCAGATATGAAGACAGTGACAAAAGAAAGAGTGAGATCCAAAAGAGAAATGTAAAAGGTCAACGGTTACCTCAAGAGTCGACAGGTTATTGCAGCTGAGATCTAGTCTCTCCAAGATACTAAACTCGTTGAATCCCAAAACCTGCATTTTTTTTTTTTTGTCATAATCAACGTCAGAGATCGTTTCCTATTAAAATGATAAACAATAAGAATCAGAAAATGAGAGCTAGGTCCGAAAAACTAAAAAAATAAAACCACTTGGTTCAAGCATAGTACAAATATGGTGAGAGATTAGGCATTAATTTATAACACAGAGAAATCAAAAGAAGTCCAGCTACTTAGATAGAGATTTCAAATGCGGCCAAATCGCGTGGAAATTGCAGAAAATCATACTTTAGAGAGTCCTCTCTTTGAAAGTTGCAGAGAAGAAATGGATGATGCATCTCTAGTCTGGTGTTCCTTTAAAATTTCATCAAAGCTTAAAGATTCCATGATTGCCCTAGTTCTTAGCTCAGTATGATATTCCACTAACACATGCTATGGGCCTATCAGTACCTTGTCTGAAAGAGCACTAGGTTCCCTGGCTATTGTTCTTCATTAATATAATCATGTCCAAGCTGAACGCCTAAACCACATCACTGATAAAGGAAACCCTAACGTCCATTTTCAGCTATAAATATTCTCATTTCTGCATTTTTTGGCGCGCTGGATTTTGTATAAGAGGACCTTGACGGTACAGTTGGCACGTGTATAAGGGTATGTTTCGTAAATGTAAAGTATTTAAACAGTTTGCTGAAAAAAATAAAAAATAAAAAAATGGCATTTATATTTTTTTTTTAGTAATGATCTTCTACATCCATATGTGTAAGACTGTAAAAAAATCACCAATAAATTTAATACAAATCTCTAGAAAAATCAAATCCTATACCATA